GGCAACGAGGGGATCGGTCTTTTCCTGGGATAATAGTACTCGTGGTCTTGATGCCAGTACGGCGTTGGAGTGGGCTAAAGCTTTACGAGCAATGACCAACGTTCTCGGACTTACCACGATTGTGACCCTGTATCAGGCAGGGAACGGAATTTACAACCTCTTTGACAAGGTTCTGGTCTTGGACGAGGGGAAGCAGATTTTCTATGGTCCCGCGGCTGCAGCAAAGCCATTCATGGAGAATCTGGGATTCGTCTATACAGATGGAGCTAATATCGGTTCGTATTCCTACTTTTCTGTCTTCCGAGCGACAGTTCTGACCCCGATTTCTCCAGGCGACTTTCTGACAGGCGTGACTGTTCCTACTGAGAGAAAGATAAAGCCAGGTTATGAAAATAGGTTTCCTAGGAATGCCGATGCTATTATGGCGGAATACAAGAAATCAGCCATCTACAGCAACATGATAGCAGCCTATGATTATCCCACAACCGCGCTGGCTCATGAACGGACGGGTGCATTCAAGGAGTCTGTTGCCTTTGAAAAGACTACTCATCAGCCCAAGAATAGTCCGTTTACCACAAGCTTCTGGACTCAGGTCATAGCATGCACGCGACGTCAATACCAGATCCTATGGGGTGAGAAGTCTACGTTTTTGATCAAACAGATTCTGTCCCTGGTTATGGCCTTGATTGCCGGCTCCTGTTTCTATAAAGCTCCACAGACCTCCGCTGGTCTTTTCACCAAAGGAGGTGCCGTCTTTTTCTCGCTTCTGTATAACACCATTGTTGCCATGTCTGAGGTCACGGAGTCCTTCAAAGGACGACCTGTCCTTGTGAAGCATAAATCATTTGCTTTCTATCATCCAGCCGCATTCTGCTTGGCCCAGATCATGGCAGACCTCCCAGTGCTGCTATTTCAGTGTACGATATTTTCGGTCGTGATATACTGGATGGTTGGCTTGAAAGCTACGGCAGCAGCCTTCTTTACCTTCTGGATCATCCTTTTTAGCACAATTCTGGTGAGGCAACCCCCAAGCCTACAAGCCGGTCCGTTCCCTCACTAACATGTTGTAGTGTATTACGGCACTATTCAGATGCATTGGCGCGGGCTTCAGTACCTTTGAAGCCGCATCTAAAATTTCGGGAACCGCTATAAAGGGAATCGTCATGTATGCTGGATACATGATTCCCAAACCCAAAGTCAAGAACTGGTTCCTAGAGTTGTACTACACCAACCCTATGGCCTATGCTTTTCAGGCTGCCCTGTCCAACGAATTCCATGACCAATATATCCCCTGTGTCGGCAATAATTTGGTCCCTCATGGCCCTGGATATGAGGATGTTAGTTCTGCCAACAAAGCGTGTACTGGTGTGGGTGGTAGTTTGACAGGCGCAGACTACGTAACCGGTGATCAGTACCTTTCGTCGCTGCACTACAAACATTCTCAACTCTGGAGGAATTTTGGCGTCGTATGGGGGTGGTGGGGCTTCTTCGCTGTGCTCACGATTATCTGCACTACGTTTTGGAAAACTGGTGCTGGAGGAAGTGCTTCATTACTAATTCCACGCGAGAAGCTCAAGCAGCATCAGAACAGCATGGATGAAGAGTCGCAAGTCAAGGAAAAAGGCCAAGCCAAAGCTGCCACTGGTGACTCAACTGCAGAGGTGGATGGCAGTCTTTCCCGGAATACTTCGGTCTTTACATGGAAGAACCTTAAGTATACCGTCAAAACACCTTCAGGCGACCGGGTTCTATTGGATAATATTCACGGCTGGGTGAAACCGGGAATGCTTGGGGCTTTGATGGGCTCTTCAGGAGCCGGCAAGACGACCTTGCTTGATGTTCTCGCGCAGCGAAAGACCGAGGGCACTATTACTGGGTCTATCATGGTTGATGGCCGGCCGTTACCCGTTTCGTTCCAAAGAATGGCTGGATACTGCGAGCAATTGGACGTTCATGAACCCTACGCTACAGTTCGCGAAGCCCTGGAGTTCTCTGCGCTGCTGCGTCAGCCCCGAACGACTCCCAAAGCAGAAAAAATCCAGTACGTCAACACCATCATCGACCTCCTGGAGCTCCATGATCTGGCAGACACCCTCATCGGCACGGTCGGCAATGGCCTTAGCGTGGAGCAAAGGAAACGGGTAACCATTGGAGTGGAACTTGTGTCCAAACCAAGCATCTTAATTTTTTTGGATGAGCCTACCTCTGGCTTAGACGGACAGTCTGCCTATAATACCGTTCGATTTCTCCGAAAGTTAGCCGATGTTGGCCAGGCCGTTCTCGTGACCATTCATCAACCCTCTGCCCAGTTATTCGCGCAGTTCGATACGCTCCTCCTTCTCGCACGAGGCGGTAAAACGGTGTACTTTGGCGATATTGGGGATAACGGACACACCATCAAGCAATATTTTGGCAAATATGGCGCGCAATGCCCCGTTGAGGCCAACCCAGCCGAGTTCATGATTGACGTGGTTACCGGAGGCATTGAGAGCGTCAAAGACAAGGACTGGCACCAGGTCTGGCTCGAGTCGCCTGAACATCAAAACATGATCTCTGAGCTTGATCGGCTGATCTCCGAGTCTGCCTCAAGGCCCTCTGGTGTGAATGACGATGGATGCGAGTTCTCGATGCCGCTCTGGGAACAGACAAAGATCGTAACCCAGCGAATGAATGTGGCTCTATTCCGAAATACTAACTACGTCAATAATAAGTTCTCGCTGCATATTATATCTGCTCTGCTAAATGGTTTCTCATTCTGGAGGGTTGGTCCTAGTGTGACGGCCCTCCAATTGAAAATGTTCACCATCTTCAACTTCGTGTTCGTCGCACCAGGAGTGATCAACCAGCTTCAACCTTTGTTTATCCAGCGGCGCGATATCTACGATGCTCGGGAGAAGAAGTCAAAGATGTACTCCTGGATCTCCTTTGTCATCGGCCTGATTGTATCTGAATTCCCATACCTCTGTGTATGTGCAGTCTTATACTTCGTCTGCTGGTACTACTGCGTCCGCCTGCCTCACGATTCCAATAAGGCAGGAGCCACCTTCTTCATCATGCTCATCTATGAGTTCATCTACACCGGAATTGGCCAGTTCATCGCAGCATACGCACCCAATCCGACGTTCGCAGCCCTCGTGAACCCCATGATCATCAGCATTTTAGTCCTCTTCTGCGGCATCTTCGTTCCATACACCCAGCTCGACGTGTTTTGGAAATACTGGCTCTACTACCTCAACCCATTCAACTACGTTGTTGCAGGCATGCTGACATTCGACATGTGGGACGCCAAGGTAACCTGCAACGAGAACGAGTTTGCCGTATTTGACCCGACCAACGGCACTTGCGGAGACTACCTGAAGGACTACATGTCTGGCCAGGGCTGGCGCGTGAACCTGACTAACCCGGACGCCACCTCGAACTGCCGGGTGTGTGAGTACCGCCGAGGCAGCGACTTCTTGTCCACGCTGAACATCAACCATTACTTTTACGGGTGGCGCGATGCCGGCATCTCGGTCATTTTCGCGATCAGCGGATATGCATTGGTGTTTGCCTTGATGAAGCTTCGGACAAAGGCTTCGAAAAAGGCGGAATAGATGATGTGGGAGTAACTCGGCTTACTATTTGCTTCTGTGGATCGTTGGTGTCTGGCCGCTAGAGCCGGGTGGTAAGTGCAATTTGCACCGAGTAGTCTGATCAGTCCTAGATGTGGCGAGGGCAGTACTCTGTTCCCTGTATATACTGTGCAATTTGTTTGTTTTGTGTATAGAATATAGAATATAGAGCATAGAGCATAGAATATAGAATATAGAACATGATCAATTTATTTATTTGCAAAGATATTATTATCCTTTATCTTTATTCTATTCTGCAGCTCTCTAGATAGAGTAGTTCAGTGATTTACTAACTAGACCGAGCTCAGCCAGGCAGTAGTTCCAACAATCCTGAGCTAAATTATAATATAAGAGAGGCTCTTAAGTTACTAAAATAGAATCCATTATGCTTTCAGTTCATAGAATATCTAAATCCTTCATGCTATCTATGATTCATCTTCCATCTTATAGAATTATCAATAATTAATAATTATATGTACGTCTAGTGTATAAACAAACACCTGGATATTTAACCAACAACACCACACCACACCAAAACAGTAATGATAACCCATATACTCCAACCTAACCCCCCTCCCCTCTCCGTGTATGGAAGGGGGATCAACGGATCCTTTCACTCTCATACAAAATACATACATAGTGACCACCTACGCCTCCAAATCTAAAACCTCTTGTGTGATATATCCACGTGTTACACTACACAGTAAACTCGGAAATTACATACATTAAATAATCCAAATAAAATAAATTCAAGAATAAAATAAATACAGACAAGTTTGTCTGCAAGTTGAGCATAGTTTCTCCGGCCTGTGAGATAGATAGATACCTGTATAATGAAATTAACTTCACGATGAGTTGGTTGTTAAGTACCTTGTGGGGGTAAGATAGTGAATACCTTTTGTATAGAGATTAAAGATAGAAGTGGTGATTATCTTAGTGAAAGAATCTAAGACAAGGGCTGGGTGGGCTAGGCCAGTAGTTGGCAGCAGCTTACTAGATTGGAAGATTCAGACGCACGCAAATTTTTGTTGGAACCAGCCGATAATTTTTAGTATGACTTCCGTTGGAAGGAAAGGAAAAGAACTCGGTAGGTAGTTAAAATGTAATCTCCGAGTAGAAGAAGCAGGTTTCCTATTCAATTAGTCTGGTGTCTCCTAACTGCGGCCTTCCGGGTATATATTAAGAGGCCTGACGGCCGGCCGGCCCTGTTGAGGATTAATTAACCTCCAAGCTTTTCACTTACCACACAAATCCCAAAAATTCACATATTGGTATTTATTTCCAGCTCTACTTACTGACTGACTGACTAAATAGTGCTTCTTCTACCAAGCACTCACTCACTACTGCCGGCAAAAAAAACCCCCTCCGGAAAAAAAAAAGAAATTTGAAGGCCCGAACCGTGGTTCGAACACGGGGCCTCTCGCATTTTAGACTGAAAATCCCAAAGCGAGAATCATACCACTAGACCATCCGGGCTTCTTGTTGAGAGTACATTATTTCTTTTTCAATAAATAGCAAAAGAAATAAAAAAGAGCTTTCTTAAAAAGGTATCATATCATAGAGAGCCTCTGAATGGCTTTACCAAAAACCTCTTGTAGGGTCTTATGAAAGGTCGGAATCTTTGTCATTTTTGTGATTAGTGGGTGGTATGCATTGATGTTTGCCTTGATGAAGCTCCGGGCGAAGGCTGAGAGAGAAGGGGAGGGGGGAAAAGGGCCGAATAGATGGTTCGGGGGTAAGATTTGGTTTACTATTTGGGCTCGCTCTGGGCATGCTACGGTGGTGTGTCCGGGGCTGTTGGAACTACTAGGTGACAGATATAATTTGCACTGGGTGGAATGTTGAGTAGGAGGAGGAGGAATTATTGGGACTGTATGTTGTCCAGTGGATAGTATATTCTACTAAAGTTATAGAATAGAAAATCGAATATTCATTTTAGAAAATAAAATGTCATTAATGGATTTAGTGATTGATATATACAATTACTCTTTACTCCTATCCTGTTGAAGATTTAATTTTCTCGATCTAGATAGGGTAGTTCAAAGACTTGTTAATTAGATTAATCCAAAGCCTCAGCTGTATGTTAATAATATCAAACCTAAATTCGAGATAAGAAAAGACTTTAAGTTATTATTACTAAAATAGAACGTATCACGCTTTCTGTTCGTGAAATACCTGTATATTTCGTACCATGCATAATATGTCTTTCGTCTTCGAGAACAACTGAATCAATGATCGTATATACATCCGGGGTGCTTTGCAAACAAACGCCCGGGTACTCCGTACAATAGTACTTAATTACAACATCCACTACCTACATACCACACCAACCAACCAAGATTATCGTTAAGCCCTCTACTCCAACCTAACCCCCCCTCTCCTCCCCTCCCAACGCACCTTAACCCTCTCCACAACAGCCGGGATCTCAAACGCCCAATGACACAACAACCCCGCCACAAACCCCACCGCATCATTCTTGAACCCAACCAACAACCCAACCGTAACCATCATCACAGTCCAGCGTTTCTTCCGCTCATAGTCGCTCAACATGGGTCCGATCTCCGGTGCCTCGTCGCCGATTAGTCCGTGACTGGCTTTACGAATATCCCTCGCTCCTGTGGTGTTTAGGCTCTCGCCTACGCTGACTAGTTCCAGGCCTGCGGCAATGACCATGATGCCTAGGAGGGCGGTCGGGAAGCGTTTAAGGAGGCCGACGAGGGATTCGCCGAAGAAGAGGCCGATGATGAGTTTGAAAACGCCCAGGAAGATGATGCTGGCGCCAGAGCGGGCGCCAAAGCGGTATTGCGCTGCGAGGCCGCCGGAGCCGTGGCATACGGGCATGGCGCCGAACCAGCAGCCGAGGAGGTTCATCCCCGCGACGCTGAGGCCGATGGAGGTGATGGAGGGGGTGGGGGTATTGGGAAGGAGGTCGTGGGCGAGGTGGACGACGGCGACGATGGAGTTGAGGGTTGTGAGGGGAATTTGGCCGATGCCGGCGTCAAGGGCGCCTAGGGACCATTCGTGTGGGGTGGGGAGGACGGTGTAGGGGTGCCAGATGGTGAGTGCGGGGAGGTCGGAGGCGAGGGCGGAGAGGATGATGGCGAAGAGGAGGCCGAGGAGGAAGACGATGAGGGCGTATGGGACGGTGCGGTAGACGTTAGTCGTGATGAGGAAGAGGAAGGCGGCCAGGGCCCAGAGACGGTTGTCGGCCCACGAGGGGGAGAACCAGGTGAGGGAGGAGAGGAGGGAGTTGGCGGAGGCGATGATGAGGGAGAGGCCGGCACCGACTTGGATGCCTTTGATGATTGGAATGGGGATGGCGTTGGCGAAGCGCGTCAGCAGGCCGGTGACGCTGAAGAGGAGGATGATGCCCGCGACGAAGAGCCCGGCAGCGGCAATGGCGCCGTTGGAGAAGTTGCGCGCGATGGCAACTGCGGCAATGGCTTTCATGGGCTGTACGGGCAGAGGGATGCCGAAGAAGAGGCCGGTCAGTATGTTGAAGAGGCCGGAGAAGATGAGGGTGCTGGAAAGGGAGACGGTGTTGTTCACCGCCAGAGCGATGGCGATGGGGAGAAAGGTGCCCAGATCACCCAGGGAGCCGGAGATTTCGGAGACATAATGATGGCGAAAGGTGGAGAGGTTGTGGGCGGTGATTTGGCGGAGATTCATGGCGAGGAATGGCTTGGAGAAGGGAGAAGGGTGAGAAGAGAGAGAGGAAGAGAAGAGAATCGAGGGATGAAGCTAAAGCAAGGCGGGAAATGCAATCCCGATCCCCGCAGATAAGATCGTCGCGGGACGTCATCTGATTCTTCGGCCCGCGGAGATCCACACGTCATGCTGATTAGTCTTCCTCCAACGTAAGCGGAACTTTGAGCTAGATATACCTCCATCATCTTAAATATATGTCAAATGTTACCTTTTCTCGCTTTCTCACTGGCTTCCTTTTCTCATCGCCTGCGGGCAATCTGCCCATAATTTATAGGCTTCCTGTCCGCTCTTTATTTAATAAGGGATCAATTTAGGGCCTGCGTAAGGCCCCGTAGTCTAGTTGGCAAGTTGTGGAACTGCCTATGCATGCGAGAGTGCTCCATACAAACGATCTACAAAGCAAGTTGCGCAGTCTATTCAATAGAAATATATGCTATAATATGCTGTTCTATATAACCCGGCTTTGGTAAGATGTCACCTGATAACAACCAAATTTAGATTCAGCCTGGATGAGCTAGATATTCCATCTTCAATGTGAGGGGCACCGTGTTCCACGGTTCGTACCCTTTTTTTATCCATGATCATAGGAGGGAAAGACATCGTCAGAAATGTCAGTATGGGTGGGTTCTTTATTGAATCACGGAGCATTGACGGGTGATGTTGAAGTTATTCAAAGCCGCAGTGAAGCGCCAGTGTACGGTACGGTAACAGGGGTCGAGATGGAGGTACCAGTAAATTTAACGTAAGAATTGGGAACATTCAATACTATGTATCGATGTTTAGGATACCTCCTACCTATTAGAGGCAGGATCCACAGGCATCCTCCGAGGTATTGCAATATTCCTCTACAATCACATTATCATGGTTTAAATTCTTCACTCCTTTCTTTCTTTCTTTTCAGTATTCACCAGGCATAGTGACAGCTCCGATGGGGACCCCAACCCACCTGTCCCGGTGGCCTTCGCGCCTCCTATATATACCGTCATCTACGGCTTGCTGATCCTCGCTATCGCAGCTTTAAACGCCTTTCACAAGTGAGCAAGAAACGAACAAAGGAGCTCTCCAGATATATGATCGAGAGCCGATAAAAATCTCTGCGAAATCTTCAAGTTGCGACTGTGTTGACTGGTACCCTTGGAATACAGCCCTACTTTTATAATTCTGCATCAGCGGTGCACCACATTTTGAGGGCTTACCACGAGGAGAAAAATGGCGCTGAGAGAATGACTTATTCTACCATCAGCCCGATCATCCCAGCCTGCCTGTTCCGAAAAGGGTTCTAAAAGCCTGAAGATATCCTAGTGTTGAGAAAATTGCAGGGCCAGTGACTAGAGGTCTTTGATTGCTGCTCTATACCCTCAGGCGGAGTCCGATGATATATAATGGCGCTAAAAAATGTCGTGTACGAACTGAGGGGATGCATAGGAGAGACATCTTCAGCAAGGAAGAACTCCGAGATATGGATGAGCTGTATGCAGGCTTTCAAAACCCAACACGCTCAGAACGCGGGACTGCTTCCATCAGCGAGTCATTGGACGAATTGGTTAAGGATTCTATCACATCAGTGGACGATACCGAACTGCAGGAACTTACGTTGTTGGTTACTGAGAAAGACGGGGAAGTATGTCAGATGCTCATCATTGGGGACTACCTGTGTCCTTTTGGCCGAGTGGTTAGCAGTTGTCAAAGTAATGTCAGCATGCACATCACAAGGTGACTATGAGCAATTGCGGATTGAGATGAACGACTTGGATCTCACCAATACCATCGGTGAAGGCTTTCCAGCTCAGCCTCCAAAGACATCGAAGAAAGCTCGCTGGATCTGCACCCCGATGAAAGCTTCCGACTTACGCTCAGGCCTAGTCCCTCTGCCAGGACTACCTAATGACCACCTAATAGTGCACACACATGTCCGAGACGCTACTATACTGAATGGGAGCACTTACGGGGGCTACTGGAGGGAGAAGACTCATAAACTTGTGATGCGAATTCGTCCCGAAATAGCGGCGATCCACCCGGATGATATTGGTGGTGGCCTAAGCCGAAATGACCTTCCCCCTCGAGTTTCAGTCAAAGGCGAGACTCACCCAGGGAAGAGATATTCCCAGAATTGGGCAATAGATGATGCTATTGACTCGGATCCCGGGGCTAAGCTAGCCTTCTGCGTCACCCTTAAAAATGACACCACATCCTATCGTGTGTGCGGGAAGGTCCCCGCTCGAAAAGCTAATACTTTCATTGACTGGATGCAAGGGGACCCTGTCGAGTTGATTGGTATGCGTCCGCGGGGGCATATTAATGCCCACGATACCTTCGTCACTCGGCCATTGAATCTTCCAGTCCAAAGAATGTGGTATACAGACGATAACGGGCAGCTTGTGAAGGGTGGAAGCAGAAATCATACTGGGTGGAGATGTATCCTATTGCTTGCAAAGAGTATATAAAGTATAACCTTTTTACATTTCTTAATCTGTAGTCGAGACATAGATATATGTGTCTATATTCCTGAATGGTCGGTAGAGATATCTCTTATGAATGTCTCTATACTAGTTATAGATCCCGGCCAAGCCGGCTGGACCGAATAAGACGCCCATGCATCAGCCTTGACCGCGTCGCGGCGACGGCACCTGAGATGGCGTAATCGAACATCCCGACGAAACCTGGACTCTCGATATCCGACAACAGACCGCTGCGGTCCTGTCCGACATCAAAAGCACCTTCCGCGGTGCCACAGTCTGGAGGACAATCCAGAACACGGTCGACACGAC